CATACCGTATCTTGCTCGTCTACTCACAAACAAAGAGCGAACAATGAGTGAACTTTGTCTTAACCTTGGATTATGAATGTCTCCATGCCTGCGAAAACTTTTCTCCCCGTTGATTATGTACATTGTGACGGTTAGCGTGTATGCTTTTTAACTGAAATGTGAGCTCCAGTGCTTGCAAAAGTTATACACAATACAATACAAGGAGAAGCTATTGCCATCTCATAAACAATGTGTGAATGCCAAAATTTAACAAGCAAAATCGGACGAGTTATTGATTGAAGAAAGGAAAATCAAAAACGATAGCTGAATAAAAACATGGGAAACACTAAAGTGTAGAATTTGATCGATAAAAATGCAATCATCCCAGTTCATATGGCAGTACACCATTATGTAAACGCCATTCACGATAATCACTTTCATCCTTCTCGATTTGATGACGAACTGAAAACCTCTAGAGAGCTTACCTAGCCCATTGTCCGTCAAGTCAAAAGATAGGATTAGTGAGGCGAACCCCTTGCCTGGACGACTCGTACCACAAGACAAACGATTTACCCATCCCAATCGTTTCAACAAGCTTAGCAGACTTCCACGACCCTCGTGACCAAGCAAGTGTGTTACATAGGTGGAGGGCTAAAATACGAGAACGGTGAAATGCGACAATTTATTAGGAATTTGAGGGAATAACAACACACAGTTGAAGAAGCATAATAAAATGAAATCAGAGATCAGACCAATAATTGCACACCTCGGTATTTAAAAACAACGGACACCATGAGCGTCACCAAATTTAGGCAGTGACTCATGCATTTGTGCTTCTTGTCACGCAACTTCGAACAACTGAAGCAGAAATAACAAGACAAGTTAATGAAAATAAAAACCAAGCTTTGTTGTTCAAAATAAACAAATGGATAGAAACAACCTCCAGGCTTAAAATTTATTATCGATCTGTACAATCGTATTACTACTTTGTTGCATAATACAAAGTCTAGGGGCTATATATCGGTGCACTTGCATATCTCCAACAGCCCTAGTCGAATTTTAAGTTTCACTACTGCAAACACAATGACATCACTAGGGTGGACTTGTGCATAGCTTGAACCAAGATCTGGAGCACAAGTGATTATACACAGTCTTCGTCCCTACCTCCTGGTGGCACATGATATAATGCACAAATGCCTTAAACGCCAACTCATCAGGAGTCACAGGAATGAAGGCGAGGAATGGTGGGTAGGAGCGTTAAGATATGGAGAAAGCTGCTGCTATTGGTAATAGTCACGATCTTTTCCGTCTGATTGAGAATACGAGCCCCAGGAGAACAGGCGTAAATGAGTTGATTAAGGAATCTGATGGCACACCAATTCATCATCATCCACGGTGATCAACATTTCGAGGCTCAGTTCAACTGACCCTCATCGACATCTGACCTATCACCTCCCACCTCGACTGGGTAAATACTCTCAGATAATGCCAGTTCNGGTTTCTCGGGAAATGCGTTGCTCAAAAAGGCATAAGACCTCCGACCAAGGTGGGCTGTTCTCATCGGCGTTTAAGGATGGAGGTTCACTGTTAGTTTTGGAGTTAACGAAATTCCTGGGTTCCATCCGAGAGGGAACAGGTTTCAAATGCAGGATGTGAATCGGTCAACTTACCCAATTACACAAAAATGGAAAAAAGCTCTGGTGGAAACCAAAGAGGAATTAGTTTATTCAACATTATCTCTAAACTTCTCGCTGGTATTGTACTCCGTCAATTGTGTAACGCACAGGAATGGTGCACGCGGTCGAGGTTGTATCGATCATATTTTCATTCTTCGCCAACTTCTGGAGCACCTACATTCCTTTTGTAGACTCCCTATTTCTGTCTTCTTAGATCTGAAAACGGCCTTCGACTCATTCAACCGCTCTAAACGCTAGCTCAGCCTTTCTTTGGAGGGTGTGCCCGACAGGTTTGTTTCAATATAACGACCTCTTCAGACTAATAGTCGAAGCCCGGCCCGAGCTTACAGTACCTTTCCGATGGAATTCACCAAGGAAAGTGGTATTCGTTAGGGTTGCCCTCATTTTCGATTTAATTTCGTCATGAAAACAGACACATTATCTTGCGTGGATAGTGGCATCGATTTGCTACCAAATGGTATATTGACTCATTTGGAGTATGCAGACGACACTGTACTGCTAAAAGGAGATCCAGGTAACTTGCAAGCTTTTCTGGCTAAGTCAAAGTCCAAGTTCTATAATGGGCATTACTTACAAGCAGATGTTAGCTTTGTCCATAGGGTGTTTACACGAGTTCAATTGTAACAATGATGAACAAAATTCCATATGATGTAATCGGTTGTGTTATGTACCATGGATGTTGGAATGCAATGTGTGTTAATGATTCTTCAAGTTTTACTCTAAAATAATCAATCGTTGTGGCACAAACGACATGAGATGATAAAGAATTCCAGGCAATGCACACTCTGACGGCGAAGGAATGACGTCGATAGTCCAGGGGAGATTTTTGGAGTAGTAACTTGAATGGATATCCCTGTAGATGAACGTTTGATGATAACGTCAAAAGTCGGCGACAAGGGTGGTTTGGGTTGTGTAATATTTGGTACAATAAAATTAAGTCTCCTCGAAACCGACGATACTAAGCAGAGTATAGACCCAATGACTAGTCTTCCCATGTATGAATCATAATAGGGTCCTTTGACCATCTTCGTGGCGAGCCTCTGTGGACACTCCAAAATTTTATGATCACGTTGTAACCATGGGTTCCAAGTTTCGATGGCATAATCAATATGCCGCCGGATGTATGCTGACAGCAGATGTGAGAATCAAGATGGTTCACAACTACCGAAAACACGTTTAAGTAGATCGACATGTTCGAGTGCTGTTGACGACGCCCTGGCACAGTTAACAGAACTGCTCAGATCTTCGTGGACTATCACACCCAAGTCCTTCTCTGTTGAAACATGAGGCAGTAATTCGTTTCCCAGGAAATAATGAAACCGTCCATGGCGGTGTAGCGGAATCACCTTGCATTTGGAGACGTTAAATTGGATGTCGTTCTCAATAGACACTTTGTGAGCTACATTCAGTGTTTCTTGTGTGGTGCTTGGACTAGGCGTACGAATGACACGAGCGACTCTTGCTCAACCCCCGACGATGACGCGGAGAGAAAGAACACAGGTTGGGAAAGAACTCAGTGCGTATTCTTCGATTAGATGTCGGTACGCAAA